ACCACTGGAGTTCAGGACACAAAGTGGGAGAAAACATTGCAAATCATGAATCTGAGAAAGGACTAGATCTAGAATTTACAAAATAGCCCTTAAAATTCAGTATCAGAAAGAAATAACCCAATTTAAAAAAAGACGCAAACAGTGGAGTAAATCAATGGTTTCTCAGTAAAAATATGGACAAAAGGCCTTAACAGACATTTCACCAAGAAGAGACACAGACGACAAGGAAGAACATAAATAGATGCTCAGCATCACAGGGCACTAGGGAAAGACAAAAAGAACAACAGTGACGCCATCACACCGAGGAGAGGCTGAAAACGCAAACCCTGTACAACACCAGGTGCTGCCCATGGTGTAAACAACAGGAGCCTCATCACCGCTGGAGGAATGCAAAACGGACTGTCACTGTGGAAGATATTAGACAGTTTCTTTGAAAACCAAAAAAAACTGATTATACAGCCCTGTGATCCTGGCCCCACTAGTTACCCACTAGTTACCTAATTTCAAACTTATATTTGCATAAAACCCTACATGCATGTAAATGTTTATAGCAGAACACCCATAAATGTGAGCTGCCCATAGTGACTAATTTCAAAAGACAATGGTAGCTAAAGAAATGAAACAAAAACAAGCTTTGCAGGAAGAAAGCTGGGAGACTCTACCCTAGCCTGGTGTTGAAGGTTAACACCCTCAGTGATCAGTCAGGGGGGCATGACTGCGTGGTGACTGACATGACTGATGTGTTGAGTGGACAGTGGCCTGCATCTCTGTGGTCTGCTTTCCCAAGCCACAGTCCCAGTCAAAGAAAAAAAAAAAAAAAACACTAAGTTGAGGGACAATATTCCTGAGCTGTGCTCCTTGATAGAGGCTAAGAGTAGAAAATTGAGGACGGAGGGGTCACAAGACCAGAAAGTGGAGGTGGGGGTAGAGGTGATTAACATAGTAATTAAACCCAGTATAGAAATGACTGATGCTTCAGGCAGATGCTCCAGGCAGCACCAACTGCTCTGGAAAGGACCCAGAGGTGCAGACCAGAGGTGGGATTGTGGGGATGGAGCCATTGCAGAGAATCACGCGTCCTTACAAATGAACAGTCACCAAAGAAATAACTATTTTTTTTTTTTTGGCTGTGTAGATATTTTTATTTTTTATTTTTTTTTACAGTCTTTGTACTGCTTGAATTTTATTTTTAACTATATACATATATCATATTAAAAAATAACAAGCAGATTGTCAGTGTCTGCAATCCTTATAAAAGATCCTCTAGTATAGTCTTTGTTCTGTGCAATATCAGGGTGTATGAAAGCTTCCGAGTGTTTTTTTTTTTAAATAATAAATTTTATTTTTATATTCCCCCATACAATTGCAAATGCCCCATTCTGACCCCAATCCCTCCCCTCCCGGCCCCCACCCCCCAAAAAGTGTCTCTGGTTCATAGTTTTTTGTTGATTTTGATTTTCACTTTCTTATAGTTATTCATTTTCCTGGTCCCTTATTTAAGTTTTCTAGATTCCTGCTATGAGTGAGACCATCCGGTATTTTTCTTTTTCTTTCTGGCTTATTTCGCTGAGCATGATCCCTTCCAGCGCCATCCATGTTGCTGCAAATTGCATGTGTTTATCTTTTTTGAATGCTGAGTAATATCCCATGGTATATATGTACCACATCTTCTTGATCCAGTCATCTATTTTGGGGCATTTGGGCTGTTTCCAAAGCTTAGCTATTGTAAACAGTGCTGCTATAAACATAGGGGTGCAGGGAAATGCAAATCAAAACTACCATGAGATACCATCTTACACCAGTGAGAATGGCACATATTAAAAAAACTAGCAACAACAAATGTTGGCAAGGTTGTGGAGAAAAGGAACTCTTCTACACTGTTGGTGGGAGTGCAAACTGGTCCAACCACTATGGAGAGTTGTGTGGAGATTTCTGGACCTACTAAACATAGAGCTTCCATATGATCCAGCAATTCCACTCCTAGGTATTTACCCAGAAGTAACTAATTTAATGACAATGACAATTGCAGAAAGGAAGGAGCCCTCCCAACAGGAGCACTTCATCAGTGCCCTTTCTGCCCCAGGAAAGACTCAGCTCTGCTCCCAAGGCTCCACCTGGGGCCTGCAGGCTTCTCCTCACACAGCCGCCCTCTCCAGGGGCAGCTCTTCCTGCCTGCTGGTGTCTGCGCAAGCAGCTCCTTCTCCCTCCCCCGACTTTTTAAAAAATATAATAACCTTCTCTTTTGCAGAGACTAAAAGTCTCTGTCTTGTGGGGAAACGCACTGTGTATGTGAAAGGGGGAATCTGGTGAAACTTTTCTCAGAGGTGACCCAAGAATCCCCAGCTATGACCCCAGCACCTCTCCCAAACATCACTCCTCCCCACAGTCAATGTTATATAAAAACAAGGAAAGTCAGAGAAACGTTCAGCCAGAGGCACATCAAGGAGACCTGGTTGGAACTGAATGAGGCAAACTAGATGGGATTCTGGAACATAAAATGGACATGAGGAAAAACTAAAGAAATTAAGCATGGAGTTTGGTGGTTGTGTCAACATTGCTTCATTAGCTGTAAAAAAAACAGTAACAACTTTAGTCATGTAAGATGTTAACAAAGTGGAAATGGTGTGGGATAAACAAGAACTGCACTACCTTTGCAACTTTTCTGTAAATTTAATAGTATTCTTTAAATGTTATTTTTTAATGTCCTCAATACTAAATAGGTTCTAGAAGGAAAAAATGAGCTACTTTCCTATTTCCTCAGGTTTTGTTATCCAGGGACTGGAGAGAGGGGTCCTGGGGAGAAAAGCTGGAAACCTCACACCCAGGGCTGGCTCCGTAGTCTCCTCTCCTCTGAGCCCTGCTTCTTTGACTCCTCACAGAGCATCTCACCCCAGGACGCCGCCCTCCAGGACCCCCAACTCTGCCCATTTCATCCCCCGCCCCGTCCTGGCGGTGCCACCAAATCCGGAGCAGCGCGGCAGCGCCCCCGTGTGGCCACAGGGCTGAGCACAGGAGCCCAGAGCCGCCCTTTCTCCTGCTCAGCCAGGCCCTCCCCAGGCTCCCTGGGCCCCCAGCGGCAGGACAGGGATCTGCACACAAGGGGGCGCCCAAGTCTGTGTCAGTTTAAGTGTCCTCATTTTTTATCTCCAGTGGTCTCCAGGACATAACAACTGGTTCCTAGGTGCTGGGCAAATCCCCAAATATATAGGTCGCCTGTGTCCCCCCTTGGGATGGAAACTTACATTCCAGGGTCCCTGTAATTTGTTTCTGCTTCTGCTTCCAAGGACGAAAGCCCCTCCTCCTGGGAATCACCTTACATTCTCCATCCTTTGGAGGAGGGGAGGGCCTAGGAGAGCCCCCAAGGCACTGGCTAGGAAGATGGGGAGACTCCTGGAAAAGAGAGCAGAGGATGGAAATGGGGACTTTAGGGGACAGAGGTGGAAAGGGGTGCAGTGGGGAGCCAGAGAGGACCCAGCAGAGAAGGGGCAGCATAGGAGACGCTTTGGGGGGAAGGGGGAATGTCTGTGTTGGTGACATGGACTCTCACTGGGGGGCCGGGAGCATCTGTCTCACCTGGGGGGATGCAGCAGTGCTGGCCTGTAACTGCCCAGGGAACTGCGCACATCCGGGGCCTTGCCCGTCCTTGCAGGGCTGGTGTCTCACACACACACACACACACACACACACACACACACACATGCTGCTGAAGGAGAAGACTATAACAGGGGGCCCCCAGGGGAGGATCTGGGTTCCTGTCCCACCCAAGGAGGGTGGAGCTGAGCAGGGAGAGGAAGCTGGAAAGGAGGCTGAGGAAGGAAGGAAGCAGGATGGAGCCAGAAGTAGACCTGGAGGAGGCACGTGGAGCAGAGAGACACATGAAGAAGCTGCACTTGCTTCTTGGCCTTGTGTTAGGGGGAAAAGGATGTCCTAAAGCTAATTCCATACAGGCTTTGTGGACTCCACCCCCACTCCAGACCAAAGCCAAAAGACACTGGGAACTCCAAATCCCATCACCACCCCAAAGGAACCTGAGGGTGGGGTTAAGCAGCCAGGTTTGGTATAAAACCAGACACGTGGGCTTTGGGGATCCCCCATCTTGGCTCTCCGCCAGCTCGCAGCTCAGCCAGCTCTGAGAGTGCCTTTGGGTTTCCAGGTTGGCGGATCGGGTAGGACGCATTAAAGACTTTATTTCCCTATTTTCTCCCTGAGTTGTACATTTCCTCAATTCCCTTTCCCTTGTAAATAAACCTTTTATTAACTTTTTGTGTGTGCCTGCAGTGGAGTATTAATAAGTCCCTTGTAAGCGCACGGGTGAGGACCCACAGCCAGGCAACCCGTTTTATATCGGGGCTGCTCCGTAACACTTGGACTGGGTGACACAGACGTGGGTGAGAAATCCATGTGGAGGTGACAATGGCAGCTTCCATCTTGATTTTGCTCTTTTCTTCCAGTCTTGTCAGCCCCGCCCACCCTTTTTCTATGGGTCGGGCCAGGAGGTGCTTTAGACTGTGACAGGCTTTCAGGCCCTGCTTGGGCCAACCCTGTTTGGCTGAACATTTACCCACGAGGGGATGGTGACTTTGGTGCTTGATTTGGAAACTTTATTCTTTCCTTTTTCTTTGTTGTACATTAATTGTAGATAAGATCCTTTCCATTAAAGGTCTTACATGTTTTGTCTTGATGCGGGGGATGGCAGAGAGATGGGGGAGATAGATGGTTAAGGGGAGTCCCCCTCCTTATCCAGAACATCCCCACTCAGCTCCCAAATGCTGGGGTGTCAGGGAGATTCAGGGGGCCAAGATGAGGGCAGAGCAAGGCCTGTGCCGCCCTGGAGTACCAGCCCTGGGGGCTGATTCTGGGGCTCCAGGACCCCAATCCCTGCAGGCAGGGCAGAGTCAGCCCCGCTCACAGCTCCAGGCTGCTGACAGCCCCTCTGTGCTGTGACCCTGCAGACACTGCTCTGGAGACAGTGTGAAAAATAAATGAAGAGCAAAATTAAGTGGAATCTGAAAACAGTAGAAATAATTTTTTTAAATCACGTTTATTTTGAAGAACACTTCAGGGGATGTGGAATTCTCATCTGACAGCTCATTACTATCAAGACTTGACTGTCACATGAGCTACTCTGGTCTCTGGTGTTTCTTGCGAGAAAACAGCCACTGATCACTTTATTGCTTAATTTTTGAATGGTTTATACCAAATCATTTCATACTTTGCACCTAATACAAAGATCTGGCATCTGGCACAGTCTCTGAGGGGGGGGCATGAAGAGGGGCCTCACTCAGAAGCTCCAGCTCTGGGTCCCATGAGGCAGCGATGGGGACGAGATGTTGGCGGATCTGAACGGCCGTGATCAGCGTGGAAGGACCTGCCTCAGAGCTCCTGCATGTGGCTCCTGGAGAAAACCCTCAGGTCCTTGTCCTGTGGGCGTCCCCTTAGCTGAGGGTCCACCGTGTGCAGGGAGTCACCCCAGAGAGGGACCAGGAGGGGAGTCCGGGCGGGAAGTCTCAGTCCCTGTGAGCCTGACTCTGACGTGGCGCGTCTCTTCTGCTTCATTCTCCTCACGAGGAAGAGCCAGCAAGTCAGGTACACTCACAGGGGGAAGTGTCTACTCTCTTGTGTATCACAGAATTGGTGGAAAATTGAAAACCAACACAATCCACCTTCTTGACACAAATTATTTCCATTCTGCCCACATGAAAAATAAGCTGCCTCCCACTCAAGGCCCCTAAAAGTCTCTTCCATCACAGAAACAGCGTGACGTCAGCATCTCATCACGTGACTCAGGACCACGCAGAGGAGGCTCCTTGAGAGCACCTGTGCAGTGAAGCCGTCTGTGCTCAGCTCCTCGTGGGCTGAGGCAGTTTCCTGCCCCACAAGCCCTCGATGAGGATACAGTGGAGGACAGACACAGGATAACTTGCAGACACATTTTTAAATATGTTTCTAAAGGAATTTGAGATATAACTTATGCATCGAGTCACTTGTTGACAGCTCAACCTCTCATGTCCTTTTGGTAAGCACAAAACAGGGCAACCATCATGTACTCTATCTTGAGAACATCTCCGTCACCACAACAACCTTGTTTCCTGGGCCTGGGCCCATGGGTACCACCCCTACCTTTTCCTCCCCAGCTCTGGGCAGCCAAGAGCCCACTCTCTGCCTCTGGGGACAGACTGGGGAACTTCTCTCTAAACACATCCCAGGTGACTCTGCCCTTCAGACCTGCAGTTGGGCATTTGGGGTCCCCTAGCCCAACACATACTGGTGCCCAGGAACATACTCCACTGGGTGTTAAGGTCACAGAGAACCACATTACCCCACCCTGGAGGCCCTGCAGCCTGGGGTGTGTGAGGAGAGAAGGGCTGCAGTAGCTGCCTCAGAGGGGGCCAAGGGTAGAGCCAGGGAGGTTCCTTCCTCAGCAGGAAGGGGACATGGGAGCTGGGTCTTGAAAGCCACATGTGGGCACAGGAACAGAAGTGGCTCAGGGAGCTGATGGAAGGCCGACTACGTGACCTCAGCAGTTACTTTCTCTGTGTGACCTCGGAGATTCCTCCCCAGCACTCTGTGAATTGGGAAGTGATACTGTCCTGACACCCCTCCCCCATTCCCTTTCAGAAACAAGGACATGGAGACTGGGGGGCTATGTTAGTGCCCAGGTCTGAACCCCAGCCACCTGGCTAATGTCTGGGCCTCCCACCCGACACCATCCTGCAAACTGACCAGGGGACCAAGGTGGCAGTGACCCTGGAGCCCTCACCACCCGCTCCAGATACCACACATTTCTGGGCTGGATTTGACTAAAGACAAAATGGCAATAGTAGCTCATCATTTAATCACCTTTTTGCAAATGAATTAAGCTTAGTAAACAAAAAGGCACAGTGCCTGATTGTACCAAAAAATAAAACCCAACTCTATGCCTCTCCAGGAGACCCACTGGAGCTACTAAGATAACCAATAGGATTGAAAAGTTCTTGGGAAAAAACACAATTTAATTGGGGCATCCCCAAAATTGCAGGGGCTGCTCTATAACATAAAATAAATTTCCAGCTAAAAAAGGTAACAAGAGACAGGGATGACCATCATCTGATTAAGGAATCCTACATCAGGAAGACATAACACTCATCAATACACATGCACAAAACAAAGGAGCAGCAAAATATATAAGGCAACTATTAACAGATCTGAAAACAGATATCAGCAGCAACACAATGGTGGTAAAGAAATTCAAGACCCCACTTTCATCAAGGACACATCACCTGACAGAACTCAGGGAAACTATAGCTTTAAGTGAGGAATTAGACCATGTGGGCTGAATAAATATTCACAGGGCGCTACACTCCAAAAAGCTGAATATATATTCTTGTCAGGTGCACCTGGAATAGTCTCCAGAATACACCATTTGTTTGGTCACACAAGTGTCATAAATTCATGATGGCTTAAATCATATTGAAAGGTTCAGCGCTGTAAAGAAGAGCCAGGCTAAGTTTCTCAAAGATGGGGAAAATTTGTTGTGCGCCCGGGAGAGCTTCACGGACCAAGGTGGGGGTCAGTAAAGCCGCACACATTGTCAGGGGGAGGCAGGCTTTTATAGAGTGAGGAGAGGTCAGGTGGGAAATTGGGTTCATAAGGTGGGAAGAACTTTGTAGGGCACGAAAAGATTCATGGGGCAGGTAGAGGTTCTTTGTCTGAGAAGAGACCCATAGGGGGAGGGGGGAGGCTCATTGTCTGAATCCTCCAGGCAGCTTCCGCATTCCTGCCCTCAGGTAGGCTTCGTGGTGGGCTTTTGCATTCAGGCCTCCTGCATGGACCCTTCACCATCACCACCAGAAAGCCACAAGCAGAGCCAGGAATGGAATCTTCAGGCACTTTCACTTTTCAGATCACTGGCCATTGATCTGAGAGAATGGGGGGCATCGCACCCTGAAGGGCCCGTCTCATCTCCAGCTGGCCTTGTTATAATCAGTTACACACAGACAGTCACAGCAAAGAGCTGTCAGAACAGCCTGTCACAGTTATTGTTCCTGGTATCCAGCATGTTCAGCCTCCAGACTGTTATCAGGTCCCGGCCTCACCCAGACACTACACCATCACAGTCAGTTTGCATGAATTCAACAGGAACAGAAATTATTATGCAGACCTTTTAATTTTGCTTTGTTGGAACTTATAAGAACCCTCAGACTAAGAGCTTCTGAAAGCCAGGAGTCAGGGCTCAGGACCACACCAAGGTCTCACCATCAGATTTGGCCTGCAGTACCTAGATCTTCCAGGAACCCTCTCTTGAGGTTCCCAAGACATCTGGGGTTTCTGGGCCTCACAAGGGGTTATTCTTTACACTCATGACAGACCTTTTGTACCCCTAAAACAAGTGCCAGGTTATTGTTTCCTTGTAGGCTCTGAGATCAGTCTGGTTTCTGAAAACACAACATTCCAGACAAAGCCTTGGTAAAATACCCGTATTTCCAATTATCTATTAAAGAAAAGGGGAAACAGAACTTTATTGGATTTATGAAAACAAACACATTTTTAAGATATATTTACTTATGTGCAGAAGAGCTGGGGTGAAGGCCAGAGGTGGTGGGGGTTGCAATGGTGAGAGGATTCATCAGAGACAAAGTGGGGAACGGAACAGGCAGATCTACTGAAATACACTGCTGAGGGGAGCACCAGGCACGATAGGAGAGGTCTGCCGCACCACGGGGGTCAGCTACCTGGCTAGGGATCCAACTCAGGCCATCATGGTGTCTTCCAGGCGTCTCCTTCTACGTCTCTAAGTTCCCAGTTCAAGTGCAAAGCCAAGAAGCAAGGCGGCTTCTCCACACGTTTCTCTCCTGTGTGTCCTCCCGGTGCTCTCTGCTCTGAGAAACCTTCATGTTCTGACCAAACAGCCCATCAGAACAGCCCGTCACAGCTGACACTCCCAGTGTCCGTCCTGTTCAGCCCCAGAACTTGTCGTCAGCCTCCCGGTTATCCTGACCCTGGTACATCTGAGGGAATCAGTGTCCAGCCTCCTCCTCTTTGGGGCATCAGCAGGGCGGGAATCTCAGTGTCAAACAAGAGCTTTAGTTCAAAGAAGATAGATCATGAGTCATGTAGCGTGTACGTGCAGCCTGTGTGTGTGCAGATTCCTGTACTAGGTATGGGCCCTTCCTCCCTGGCCCCCTCTCAGAAGGACAGAGCTAAGGTAGCGCACAGGGCACTGTCTATGGTTCTCACCCGTGTGCTCAGTTGCAACCACTCAGGCTCAGGGAACAGCAATGAGGTTTCTTAGCAAACAGGAGAGCAGGGAAATAAAGAGTTTCAAAGGCCTCAGTGGCAGCTGTTCACCGCAGATAGTGTCCATAGCATTCAATAGTCCCAAATTAAGGCTGCCGTGCAAGGTGGTACAGTCCTGTCAGGGAGGGCCTGGAGCTGGTAGCACAGCCATAAGCACTGGGCCAGGATCCAACTCACAGTGGCAGTGGGAGGTGCTCCCAGGAGGTGTTCACCTCTGAGGAGACACCCCAGCAGGCACAGCCACAGTCTGAACACTGGGCGGGACAAGAAGGAGGCAACAGCACCAGGAGGTGGTGCCAGCCAGTCAGCAGCAATGACAGGTCTCAAAGGTGACCTTGCTGCTGTACCCCAGTGGGCAACATGCCCTGGGGTGGTGTGGGGGGGAGAGAGAGCGCCTCTGCTTCCAGATTGGCTGCCGCCTTTGTCAAAGACACTGACGGTGGCTGGTGGTAAAGTGCCCCCACATACTGTCAACCACTGCCACTCCCGCTGCAGGTTGCAGTGGGCACAGCTGTCAGGGAGGACTGGGCCCTGTCCTCAAGCAGTGGCCTCCTGCAGCCTGCCAGAGCAGGTAGGGTTCCATTCAAACCCAGCTGTGTCCCAAGCTCTCATGCCTAGCCCAGGGAGGTGGCCTCAGCGAAGCTGTCCTGTGGCACCTACTGCAGGGCAGCCTTGGTGCTGCCCAGAAGCAGCTCCTCTGGGGGACAGGGGAGGGGACCCTAAGCCCTAGGGGCTTCTTTGTTTAACCCTGGCTTGCTCTGGGGGAGGGGTCCTCTGAAGACTGCCTGCCCCCTGGCAGGAAACCCCCCTCTGCCACCACTTCTAGAGCTGTGCCCACCAGCTCCCAACTGCACACGCAGGTGCCAGGGCAGGAAACCACCACTGCTGCTGCCAGTGCTTTCAGATTCCTGCTCCCACCTGCTCTGGCAGGCTGCAGGTCTCTGGCTGTGCCCACTGGGGTAGCCCCACCAACAAACCCTCATGTCCCACCACTCGGGGCAGGAAAGAGCTGGGTAAGCCACAGGGATCTGGAGTCAGTGTCACACAATATACTATTATATACAAACATACACACATTCACATGTATCTATTAATGCCTTTAGTAAATTTTACTTGAAGAATTTCTGTTGTAAATTTGTATCAAATGAGTGAGAAATCCATCCAGGAATAGTGACAGGCCCTTCATATCTCTACTTCACAGTCTGAAATGTTGGGTCGTATCCTGACCCCTCTATCTCACACCCCAGATGTTACATTAGGAAATGCTGTAAAGCCCGTCTCTAAATATAGCTAGCTCCAATGACTTCCTATTATTTTCCTGATCACACCCCAAAAAGCTACCAAATTTTCCATCCTAGAATCTGTCCTAGTTTCCTACATTTATCTTCCACCTCTCACCTTCACCTCTTGATTCTGTACAGCACCCAGACTGAGGCTTCTAAAGAGAAGTTGCACCACATCACTCTGTCCAGAAAGGTCCATTGATAACACATCTTACTCAGAGAAAAGATTACGAAATCCAAACCAAACTTCAATGACAAGCCTAAATATTTGTCAATTATTTCCTTTTATAGAAAAGTATAGGTTTTTCACTTTGAAACATAGCAAAAACACAGTTTAGTTAAAAATCCAGCAGCCAAACATACTACTTGGCCATCAAGTTTCCCTTTCTAAATTCACTTATATTCACATAATTCTACGCTTATTACAGAATGCTTTTAAAAATAAAAGCCATCAAAATCTTTAGTTAAATAATATCACATCTGGATTGAATCATGGTAGTATGGATATTTTTTATAAATTCCAGTTTATTTATTCATCAGTAAAATGTAATATTTGACAATATCGCTAGAGAATAAGCTTCCTGTGTGTAGGGAGATGACAGTGTCATCACACCTGCTATGAAGTGGGTCATTTGCAGTCACTACTAGATTATAACAGAACTGCTCTCATACTGAGGCTTCCCTGTGAACAAAGTACTACAAGCAGTCATTGCCAGACCAGTATGGAACACGGAGCTCACTCCTGACACCAGGCACCACCTGAATCCTGTATTTATGTTTCCGTGTTAGGGTGCTGAGCCTTGGTGCTATTAAGCACTATGAGTTTTTCTTAATGAATGGGGTGGGTTAAAACAAAAGTTCCCCTCAATCATTTACTTTCCCTCCACCTTTTTAAAAATTATTATTATTATTATTTTTAAAGATTTATTTTATTTATATAAGAACCGGGGTACAGGCCAGATGCGTGAGAGGGTGAGAGGATTCACCAAAGACAGAGCGGGGAACAGAACAGGCAGACTGACGAAATACATTGCTGAGGGGAGCAGCGGGTGAGACAGAAGAGGTCTGCTCGCCATGTGGGTTGCTCCAGGGCTGGTGGGGATCAAATAGGCACTGCAGAGGCTGCAGACAGCTTCACAGTGCTGTGCTCAACCACCTGCAACACCAGGGAGACCCTTAAAAATTATTGATGAGACAATATAAGTTACAGATTCACTGGCCGGAAAGACACAGTCACCTCTTAGGTCACCCCTGGTGTTTATGTAAGAGGTTGGTTTCTCTTGGTCTCTCAGCATGACCATCCCTCAGCAGGGCCCTCAATGTGGAGTTTCAAGTGCTACCATTGCTATGTCTCCTGGCTGATTATAGATTATTTTCCCTCATTAAAAATATTTAATAAATGGCAATAATCTCAGCCTTTGTAACCTCTCCATCGAAAAACTATTCATTTTCACCATTTCCTGCTGGCTGCTGTGCTAGTCTTCTGTCCCCTTCTTCACATAACAGTGGTCCTTTCCCTTCAAAGGAGGAAGAATTTTTGAATGAAGAAGATGTGAAGGTATGTATGGTGAGCTGAGCCATTAAGAAATGTCCTTAAGAATTGAAGATACAAAAATCACCATCATGAATGGAAACTGTCCAGATATTGACCAAGATGTAGCACCTAAATAAGCCAGCTTGTGGACCATTCACTAATAATGAGTTGAATCCAGCCATTTGGAAACTCTCATATGTTGTCATATAATTTGCTGTATCCTCTCAGCTCCAGCGGTAACAATGAAATGGTGAGAATACTTAATCCATGGTAATGATGTAACAGTAAACAATTTCTTGTGAGATTTGATTCTTTAAAAATTGTGGGTGTTGGGCCTCTGTGGTTGCCTAAGGGTTAACTCTCAGCACTACCACTGAGAAGGCCCACTGCAACAGCCTGAGTGGGTCCCGGGCCAGGGAGCTGACCCATGTGGTGCAGCAGACTACTCCTGTCTCGCCCACTTCTCCCTTAGCAGTGCATTTCAGTAGATCCACCTGTTCTGCTCCCCACTCTGTCTCTGGAGAATCCTCTGACGCCTCTGCCCTATACCACTGGCCTTCACCCCAGTTATTCTAAACAAAAATTAAAAAAAAAAAACTTAAAAAATTTGTGGATGTTTCATTAGGGAATTATAGATAAATAATAACTCAGTGTTGCAAAGGGAAAATAAAGGATAAAAGCATCAAGATTTGTTACTATCAGGAGAATAACAATTTGTTGGAAGATGTCAGCTTCTGGCCATGTGGTGAATATATAAGTGTTGTAAAAAAGTCATAATCTGCAGCATCAAGTACAAGATCCATCTCAGACCCAGCAAACAGCAGAGGCTGGGGACCCAGTGGTGGTGCAGGTGCAACAAGACACAAGGGGGGACTCAGTCAGCGGGAGTCAGGCTTTGTCATCAAATGAGTCTGATGCCAAACTAGAGAGGGTCCGTCCACCATCCAGAACTGCTGGGCCAGGAAGCCTGGGCTGGTCTGCAGCCCTGGTCAGCAATAGGCGCAGCCTGGCGGGGCTCAAGGGTTAGTTTTCAAGTTTGGCTTAATCTGGCCCTTAATTTTCTTTCTCTACATTCATATATAAGTATTTCTCTTTTTCCTTTTGACTTTTCCCTCTTCCATCCATGTTGCCGCAGTGGCATGAGTTATGTTTTCTGACCGTGGATGCTACTTCATTACACAGGGACATACATCACCTGTACATGCACATATATGTATACATGTAATCCCAGCTTCTTCTTGATTTGTCACCTGTCTGGGGCATTCAGGTGGTTCCCATAGCTTGGCTACTGTAAATAGTGCTGCAGTGGTGACGGGAGTGCAGGTCCCCTCACAGGAGAGTATTTATCCTCTGTGAGGAGATCCTCAGAGTAGAATTGCTGGGAGCAATGGCAGAACCACATTCACCCTTTTAAGAAACCTCAGTACTGTTTCCATAAGGGCTGGCTCAATATTTACCCAAAAACAATACAGGACTGTCCCCTTTTTTCCATATCCTTGCCAGCACTTGAATTTCTGGTCTTTTGGATATGGGCCATTCTTGCAGGTGTGAAGTGGTTTAAACCAGGGGAACATAAAGCTAGAAAATGTGGGCAAAAAGAAATCCTGTAACACTCAGGCCAACACAAGGCTGTCTCACAACGTGAAAGAAAATAATCATGAAGAAATTCAGGTGAATGACCTGAGTGTTAACATTATCAATGGTCCACTGCATTCTCAAGATGTCCTCCTGAAAGCATCCCCATCACCTAGTGCCAGCCTCTCTGCCTCAACCCCCAGCCCCACTGCAGTCTTCCAGGGTCTCACCTATGAGATACACTTAAAAGCACTGGGACTGTGGCTGCCTGGGGGAGAACACAACAAAACTTGGTCAGAGATGAGACCACGGGAGGAATTGATGAGAGTGACTCCCCCATGGGCTCCATCTACACTGTCCCCATGGGCTCAGGGATCAAACCCCTGATCCACACTTACCTGGAGCCAGAGTGTAGCTTCTTCCTTCTTCACCTGTGGGAAGAAGCATCATGTGAGACAAGAAAGCAGTCAGGTCAGAAGTTCTAAAGGAATCTTCTAATCCTTGGCTACTGTGAATAAAGACCCAGGTCAGGAGGGGAAAAATGAAGAAAGGAGGTGAGGGGGGACTGGACCAAATGCCCTCTGGGCAACACACATGCGTGGATGGTACTTCCCATTAACCAGGCAGGGCAAGTTCTCCCTGGGACATGAAAGCCCCCAGTGGACAAGATCCCCCACTCCCTTCCCTACCTGAGCGCTTCTTCCTCCACATCACAGCTGCAGCAACCACAGCTCCAGTGAGCACAGCTCCAAGGACTGGGCCAGCAATGATGGCCACGTTGGGCTTGGAGGACTGAGGAGGGGGCACTGGAAGGGAAGGGAGGGGAAGGGGAGACTGAGCCCCAGGCCTCATCCTGCCTCTCTGAAGTTCTCCAGAAGGGCTCCTGATTCCTCTGAACAGAAGCTCAGTGCCCATGACCCCCTCCTCACCCCATCTCAGGACTTGGAGCTCCTCCAGTCCCTCATGCTGCACATGGCACATGTATCTCTGCTCCTCTCCAGAAGGCACCACCACAGCCACCCACTTCTGGAAGTTTCCATCACCACCAGGCCTGGTCTCCACCAGCTCTGTGTCCTGAGTCAGGTTCTCCCCATCTCGCTTCCAGGAGAGGGTGATGTCCGCAGGGTAGAAGCCCAGAGCCCAGCACTTCAGGGTGACCTCATGGTCAGAGGTGAGATGGAGGGTCACTTGTGCCTTTGGGGGATCTGGGAAGGGTCAAAAAATTCACACTTTGGGTTTTTCTTTCCTGGACACTGAAGTAGCCTCACTGACCATCCTCCTCAGAAGGAACATGACAATTGGTTTGGAGGGAAGAAGCACAAAACCCAGAAACCAGCTTGGTCTGGGGAATCTGGGATAATCAGGTGAGAGCCCAGGGTAGGAGCATACAGGTCTATAAGGAGAACATAGACTTTTGCTCCTGACCTGGTTGGAGGGTGAATGACACAGAAAGGCAGAAGTCAGATCCAAAAATGTTCTGACCAAAAACAAGGCCTTGAAAGAAACACTCATGGATCCCAGCATGGCTGCTGGGTCAAAAGGATCCAAGGAAGTTATTTCAGGATGGCCTCCCCTCCCTGGGGAGAGACTGGATTCCTTAACTGTCCAGAAAAGTGGTGTCTTCTGGGCGAGTCTCTCTCTAGCACAGAACATGAAACCCAGGGGGACTCTCCCTCTCTGCCCAGAAAGCAGGTGCTGTTCTGCCCATGATTCCATTTCCCTGTGGGGCGCCAGGAGAGGGGAGGTCCGAGGCCTCGTGGCCCCTCTTACCTGCGCGCTGCAGCACCTCCTTCCCCGTCTCCAGGAGTCTGCGGAGCCGCGGGAAGCACCTGCTCTGCACACTGTGCCTGACGCGCTCGGCCCTCCCCGCCGCCTCCCACTGGTGCTGGGTGATCTGAGCCCCCGAGTCCGCGGGGGTCCAGGAGCGCAGGTCCTTGCTCAGGGAGATGAAATCCACGCCGTCGTAGGCGAACTGGTCATACCCGCCGAGGAGACTCAGGTCTGGCCCCACTTCACAGCCAAACATCCTCTGGAGGGTGTGAGACCCTGAAACCCACCCCGTGGTCAGCCCGAGGTCACCCCGAGATCACCCCGTCTTTTCACCCTGAATAAACCTAAACTGAAAATGAAAGGGCAGGCAGGAGAGTCCCTTCCTGGTGGAGGGGCCTGGCAGATCCACCATCCTCGAGGGGTCAGTGGACCCTGAGACTCGGGACACCCCGGCCTTATGGTAGGAACGGGGGGTGACCTGACCCTGGCCCCGCTCCCCGAAGCTCACCGTCCTCGCTCCGGTTGTAGCGGCCGCGCAATTCCTCGAGGAGCGCTTTGAACCACTGTGCGTTGTCTCTTTGGCTCTGAGTCTCCTCGTCCAGGTCCTCCTGCCCCACCTGCCCCGCCCAGGGCGCCCGCGGCTCCGCACTCTGGCCCGGAGAGTCGCTGTCAAACCACCCGTACTGCGTGTCGTCCACGTAGCCCACGGCGATGTAGTGGGGCTCCCCGAGGCCGGGCCGGGACATCGCGGTGTGGAAAATCCTCAGGGAATGGGAACCTGCGGCAGGGGAGGGGCCCAGATTCAGGGGAGCCAGAGCACTCAGGGGAGGCGGGAGGGACAGAAGGGGCCAGAACCCAAGGGGCCTGAAGGGGTACAAGATGTTGGGGAGATGAGCCTTTCCTGGGGTCCTGCACCCGCAGGGGGCTCCTTGCTCCTCCCTCCTGGGGCAACAGTGTCCAGCTGGACACGCACTCACCCTCCGGGGTCTCCATCAGGGCCAGGGGCCCCCAGAGCAGCAGCAGGAGGGTGAGGGGCATCACACCCCATCCAGGGGTCTGGGGAGAAGGAGTCCAGGAGGGTCCTTGGAGACTTTGTAACTGGAGCAGCAATGATGCTGATTGTCTTCCCTGGACACCCCCAGGAAATGGGGAGAGAGAATGGGGTGAGTGTGGGGTCATCAAGGCTGCACCACCCCACAGAGCCTGTGAGAGGGAGACATGATGCTGTGACAGTGTGACATCCACAGACAGGGAAGGCTCCAAATTCTCTTCCTCACCTTATGGAGGAGTGGATTTGGGCTGGGAGAAGCAGCAGCCTGGAGGAATGAAGAAAATAGAAGTATTTTCAGATAATTATGAATATTGATACTAAATAAAAACTGTACAGGTGGTAGTTTCTCAAAGGTTATTTTGAGAGTGAAACCTGAAATAATATCATGGAATATTTCCTTACATTCTCTTACATTTCCATAGGCCTCTGGCATATTGGTTGAAACTTGTGCTAATGTATGGCTTTTTTTAAGGTGATACATTGTCTCACTAAGTTACATAAATCTTTAGTGCTGATTACACTAGAGTCAAATTATCAAAAAATGTTTTATTTTTTAATTCCAAATTCCAAAAGAAAAATTCATACTATAAATTGACAAGTAGTGATGCACTCAATTTTTCATAATTCTGGATTTCTCTGAGGGCTTATATTTTATCACACAAAATTACTGTCATTTGCCAGTTGTTGATTTTCTTCAAGAAACGTTCATTCATTTTGAGGAAAGTGTCTGCTAATCAACCCAATTTATATCACCTTAGTTTTTGTCATTCATCCCTTCAGGTAAGATTGGTATTGCTCACAAATAAAAAGTCTAATTCATCACATACAAATATTTTCCTCAGCACACAGTGCTTGGGAAAGCCACACAAGTGTTCTGTGTGTCCTTCCAGCCCAGCACACCACATATTTTAAAATGTGTAGTTGAGGATGATGCAATAATGAAGATAACTTTTAATACTTTTTCCAGTACATTTTCAAGTGAAACTGGCTTTCATTTTTTGTTTCTGCAGGTAAGTGCTGGTGAAGAATTACTACTTCTGCAGTGGTACTATAAGCTCCACTCTTACTAAATTTTACCTCAGCAAATGCCAAAAGAGTGACAAGACAAATGGCATCTAAGTGATGTTTTGAAAAGTTTTATGTCATGGATCCCATGAAAGGTTCTGGGTGACTTCAAGGGCTCCACAGACCACACTTTGAGAAATGCTTTTCTCAGGAAACCAGGGAGCATCTCCCAAGTGTTCTCTGCCTTTGTCTCCTCATCACTTCCCAGCATCCCTCTCCCTGCCTGGCTCCTGCCTCCCCAAGATGCCTCCCCTGCAGATACAATGGGGAGCAGAGAGAGGACCCAGGACACGTGGAGTTTGCTCTGTCATGAGAGATGGACACTGAGTAAAGGTAACAAAGACACGTGTAAACCCCACCTGAGCCCCGTGCTGGGAGGAAGGAGCATGTTTATTGTGAAAGCAGAGAAGCAGGAGTGCTAACAGGTTGGACCACTATTATCAATAGTATGAACAGATGTAAAAAAAAAATATTAAAAACAAATTAAGCATAAGGAAAACAGAATTTATCTCTTTCTACATCTGTCACTTTTGCCCCTGACACACATTTTCTGGCCCCATAGAACCAGCCTGTCTGCTCTTCCCTCAGCACCCACCACCCCACCATGACCTGCCCCAGGACTCAACCAAATTGAGGAGGCCTGTAGCCTAATCTGGTCCTTCCTGGCCCCATCCTCATGCTCACCTGCTCTTCCCCTCATTTATTATGCTCTGAAGGACAGGCCTCCCCAAGATGTTCAGAAAGTTGTCCCCAAGACAGGCCACTTTGGCATGTGAATTATTTCCATCTGAGCTTTATCAGGGGTTCATCTTAAGAAACGTTTACTACTTTATAACTTCCTAGTATGAAAACTGGTGGTCTTAGCCCAAATTGGGGTTATTACTAGAAATGAACTTTGTATCTGAGAAACCTACCTATATGTCAGGGCAAACATAATCGTAGAACATCTGGTCTTCATCATATGAGCCACCCTGTCCTTGCCATGGGATCCCCTTCTCTCTCCTGGAGGTCCCAGGCCCTACTCACTCCTTAGCTCAGGAGACACACCCTCCTTTCCTACAGGGATTTCAGACACTCATTTAGATGTAGATTCCTTATGCATATATAGGTAAATTTGGTTATTTTCTAGTGCTAAAATATAAAAAAGAAGAAAAGATTTTATAAAATTTCATGTGCTCAGAATAAGAGTTCTTGAAAATTAGAGATTTGATCATAGAAATGAATAAATCAGTAGATGAACTGGCACCGGCCATGCTACTCATGTCCTCTGACAAAGGTCCAGGCATGGGGCAAATTCCTGAAGTCAGGAATCTCCTTAGCTGACTCCTGCTAGAGTCTTCTCATTTGTTTATGGGTGGCTTCTACTGAATGTGGCAATTGTTGAAATATGCCTTTAGAAGTAAAACTGCAAATGCTGTATGACCAATTACTAAATAACTAATTGGGCAACAATGGCCTGCGTGATGGGAACAGTACATTCTTAAACCATTAATAAACTTCTGCCTGAAGGCCGTGATTCAGAATTTGGTTTCATTGTAACAAGTGATATGCCACACTTAAAATCTTTTGGGAACTAAAGGCTGTAAACATTCCCAGCCAAGTCTTTGATGTAGAATTGTGGTCTTTAAAGACAGAGACCATCTGGAGAGGAGTTTTGAAGTTAGAGGTAGCAGTTAAAGTTAGAAACAGCAGTTAGTTGACAAGATAATCAGGGAAGTAACAGGTGAAAATATAGCCTTGAGAAAGTAAAAGGAGTTTCCCTTTTTTTTTTCCTTTTGAAGCTTGTGGTTAGATAAGGGTTAGTGCAACTTATGTGGCACCAGAATTCTTTTTTTTTTTTTAACTTTTTTACTACTTTTATTAAATTAGAATAGATTAGTTATAGGAATAAGAAGTTTTTTTGATTTTAGCAGTAATTGGACTTGATTACCAATATATAAGGTGATTATTGTTGTGCCCAAGATCAGCAGACTCGGCGAGCATAGCCTCCAAGAATCCAAAGACAGCCGATGCAAACACAATAGGGAGTTTATTACAGACTCGAGTCCGGGCTCATGGCACCTACCAATGCAGCAGCAGATATTGAGAGCCCAGAACAGAGGAAGCAGGGCTCTTAAATAGGGTCACAAGCAGGCACGAATTTTGAAACAAGCTGGCAATTACTCATTGGCTACTACAAAGGCATTTTGGTGTGCACAGTTACAGTTTCAAACTGATTGGACTGTTAGAGATGCTGTCCCATTTATGGATAGGACTGCCCTCATTGGCGGCTGTGGTGTTCTGCTTTTTCATCACCAGTGAGGGTTGTGACTAGAACTATCTCCGAATGCGGCTGTACAAGTTGTGTTTGCTATATCTCATGTGAATGCGGCTGTACAACAGATCATGTGACATGATCAAGATGTGGATGATATACAACTAATGTGGAATGCGGTTGGACTAACACAATTGATGGAGACTAACATTCAAGATATACAAAATGGTGAAACCTCGGCTAAGCTTGGTTCCACAATTATGTTTGTTAATGTTTAAGATTTAGGAATTTTATAAATTTTGATTAATTAGTAATTTAGCAGTTACAAAGGAATTAGGTTTTAGTCATATAAGTTTTTTGTTGTTTTGCTATTTTTTAGCATTAACAGAATGATTACTGGGCAGTGGAAAATAAAATGATTGTCAGTGGACATTTTTTATGGTCATTGTATTTACATTTAGAACTAAGTGAAATGGCTATTATCACCTCAGCAAGGGGTCAAAGGTCCCCAGGCCAGTTTGGCCATGCTGTGAGCCATGCTACTCATGTCTTCTGACAAGGGTCTGGGCATGGGGCAGATTCCTGAAAAGTCAGGAATCTCATTAGCTGACTCCTGCTAGTTTCTCCTCATTTGTTTATGGCTAGTTTCTACCATTGCTAAAATATGCATTTAAAAGTAAAACTGCAAATGCTTTTTGATCAATACTAAATAACCAATTTGATGGCAAATGGCACTGCATGATACAAATATTACATTTTTTATAAAATTAGTAATTATCTGCCAAAAGGCAACATTTGGCCTTACATTAACAAGTGAAAAAACTTCTGGGAACAAAAAGCTGTAAACATCCCTTGGCCAAGTCTCTGATATGGATAGGTGGTCTTTTGAGGCAAGGGCTAAATGGAGAAGGAAATTCTTTTACTTTAGAGTTAAAGATAGCAGCTGAGTGGCAGATGCAAGCCCTGCTCCAAGTATAAGAAAATTTCTAATAAGCCAGGAGGCGCCATAGCTAGCTCCTGCTAAATTCTTCCTGTTTGTTTAGGGCTGATTTCCCTGGAGGTGACAATTGGTATGGTAGCTGTTAGAGTATGCATTCAAGAATAAGTCAATAGGTCCTCCCCTGGTGGCGCAGTGGTTGAGCGCTGGGCTGCGAAGCTGGGCAGCGCGGGTTCAATCCCCGGCCACCAGTGAGGGTCCCTGCTCCCTTCAGCAGTATATTTCGTCAGTCTGCCTGTTCTGTTCCCTGCTCTGGCTCTGGTGAATCCTCTCACCCTTCCGCGCTTCTGACTGTACCCAGTGCTATAAATAAATAAATAAATAAATAAATAAATAAATCTTAAAAAAAAATAAAATAAAGAATAATAAATGTCATGACCTCTGCAGGAGGGCAAATAGACCCTTAGCTGTTCTTGAGAATGATGTAATGATTGTTATCTTCCTGCCTTAATGCATATGCTTATGCACTCTCACAGTTTGCTTGAAATGTATAAATAAAGGGCTGCTGAGACCCTCAGCAGGATGATGTCTGTACCCTGACCAAGTGTCTGTGTCTCCTCACTCCCCCTCCCCATCATTCCACAATTGCGCCAATGCTCCCCCATCCTTCAGGAACCCCTGACACCCAGGCTGCTGTGGCTGGCTCGCGGCATGGCCGGTTTTAAAAAAAGTGCCTGGGTTGTTAGTCCTTTTTTTACTTGAAAGCACTTGCTTATGTACTCTCAAGGCTTGCTTGCTCGAGATGTATAAATAAAGAACTGCTGAGACCCTAGGCAGGAGACACTGCACCCTGATCAAGTGTGTCTCCTCACTCCCCCACCCCCTCATCCCCTCAAGTGGAGATGCTGTCTTTTCCTGCAGGGACCCTGACAGGACAGTTTGCTGGAGCTGGCTTCAGGCAGATGAACTGAAATATTAAAGTCTCACTTCCACTAAATAACGTAAATGGAAAAGAAATGACAAGCAAAGAGAAGACCTACAAGAAAGTGAGTCTATGGACTAGGAGATTCCAAGTAGTTAATAATACAGGTGTCTAGGGCCTCCCCGGTGGCATGGCAGGTTGAGTGCAGTGCTGTGAATCTTTCTGCAGTCTCTGCAGCCCAGGTTCAATTCCTGGCCGGCCAGGGAGATACCCACATGGCACGGCAGACTTCTGTCTCTCCCGCTGCTCCCCTCAGCAGTGTTTTCTGTCTGTCTGTCTGTTCTGCTCCCTGCTCTGTCTCTGGTGAATTTTCTTACCCTCACACACTTCTGGCCTATACCCCTGTACTTACATAAATAAATCTTTAAAAAAAAAAATACAAGTGTCTAAAAGAATGGAAGGTGGAAATGATGAAAAAAATTCAAGAAAATCCCTGAGCACTCACAGATAAAATGTGCACGCTGGGTGTCCTACCCAGTTCCTCCTACAGAGGATGAGCAGCCCCACACCATGACCTGCCCCAGGGACTTTCAGAAAGAGGCTGAAGAAGGACAGACCTTGGGACCCTCAAGAGACAACTCAGGCCTGGAGGCCAGAAGACCCTGGAGCAAGGCCTGCCAAGTCCTCAGGGGAATCCAGCCCAGAGTCTGTGTCAGGCCCAGTTGAGGGAGGCGCTGGAGGCACAGACATTCACTTCATCTGTGCGTGGTCTCAGGGGTTACTGTCCACGTCCCTCCTCTAGTGGGCAAAGGACACTAATTGGCAAAGGGGAAACAAAGATGATGGACACAGAGAACAGGACACAGGAAAATCAACCACAGGGGAGCAGGGACAGGAGAGAGGCCAAGGGTGAGGTGGGGGATCTGGGCCTTCAGCCCCACCCAGGTGAGCAGGCCCCACGCCCGGGGAGGCAGGACTGAGGCTGTGGGACAGGGGTCTGCCTAGGATGAAGTGGGCTGGTGTGTGTGATATTATAAGCATGAGGCCGGGGCAGCAATGAGGCGGAGGGAGGAACTTGAAATTGTGGCCACCTGCATTCAGGCAACCCACATCCGGGGAGCTGGCTCTACTGGGTTTGCACTGTGCCTGATAAGCAGCCATGAAAGAACAACAAGCTGCAAGATAGAACATCTTTGAAATGCAACCTCACTCCACCTCCCACCAAGGCCAGACTCCTCCTAATAAAGATTACCCTCATCCCCTGAGAGGCACAACTTCTCTGACCTCTGTGGGGGTCAGTGAACTTCACCGGGGCGCAATAAACTTTTTGCCTGTGAGAAATTTAGCCTGGTTTTCCTTTTCTTTACCGCGCCAATCCTTTCATCTTGGTGCTGAACCCAGGATGGCTGCATCCCCTGGCGCTGAGGCCGCTTTCCTGTCCCAGGGACCTCTCTTCTCCATTGCAGACGCCTCACATCCACCACCGACCTTGATTCCTGGGGTAAGTCATCAATCTGACTCTCCTTCCTAGGAGGCCCTCGCCTCTGGCTATCTGGCTCCTCCCCTAACTCCTTGTTTGGTCAGCTGTCTTGAAACCGTGGGCCCACGTCAGCTGACCCCCTGTTACACCTAGACCGGATTTGGGGACGCCCATCCAGACTAGGTGCCCGGTTTAAGGCAACAGGTGAGCGGTGGAGACATCGCCCTCATCTGTCTGTCTCCTGTCCTATAGGCAACAACAGAGTGGTGGAGACATCCCCCTCACTTGTTTGCCCCCTGCTGTTGGCCAGAACCTAATCTTGGACGCTGCAGTCCTGGGTCTGTGCCCCCTGTAGGCCAGGTCAGGCTCGTGGGACGCTGCGTCCTTGCCGCAGACCAGCACAGCAGTAGACGATGAGGCCGCCTCAGGGTTGAGAGAAGCGTGCAGGGTGGTCAGGGATTCAGCAAAAGAAATGACAAACAGACACACTTCAAGAGAGTGTAAATCTGAGTGTAATTTTCTTTGAGTTGGTGACCAGTATATATACATGTTTTCTAAAAGCATAGGAATGGCGAACATCAGTGAAGAAATCAGCTTGCTTATAGGTTTAGCTTATCATTGACAGGGCAGTGATTTACATCTGGACCCAGGCGCATTCCTAACTAGTTAGGCTATTAATTTTTCTTTTTATTTTATGTGATTACTTTTTGTTTAAGCTACTCACTACCACTAAATTACTATTAATTAGCACGGGTGAATTTTACTTTTCACAATGTAATATTTTTATCATTAAGATTAATACTAACAAGGCTAAGCATACAACAGAGAAATTATTAAGCTAACAGTTCTATTAATACACAGAGTTTAGTAACGTTTCGTTTGAATTAGCCTAGTTATTAGATTTTATATGTTCTTTTTTAATCAGCAAACCAATGACCTTTTTAGACAGAGAAAGAGAAAAGATTTTAGAAAGAGAAAAGATTTTAGAGAGACAGTTGTATTAGAATAAAGTTTGTGGGCCTTGAGAAGGTGAGATAAGGTTCCGTGCGGTCAGCATTCCTGTAGTGGCTCTTGGGGCCGTTATCTTTCAACAGGCTTCCATCTTATCTATGTCTTCGGGGGTTTGCTGTTCTCCCCCTGCTTCAGGGAGTTTTGCTGTTCTCCCCCTGCACGCTGGTTCCTTGCCCAGCCGGACCTAGGGACCTTGGCGACAGCCATTAGCCCTAAGGGTCACTGCAGGGGGAGGTGCAGCAGTCCTGACACTGTGCCCCCTGTTGGTTGGGAAAAGGAGCTGGGTTAGCCATGGGGTCCGCAAATTCTAAGCCTGAACCGGCCACCCCTCTGGGATGCCTTCTCTCAAACCTCGATCCGCTGGGGCTTAGGCCAGATCTGCACCTCAGCGTCTCGTCTTCTCTTGCAACACTGCCCGGCCTCAGTGCCCATTGGAGAATGGCTCTCACTGGCCAGAACACGGCACCTTCAATTTCTTGGTCCTTACAGACCTTAACAACTTCTGTCACCACAATGGAAAATGGTCAGAGATCCCTTATGTCCAGGCTTGCTTTTTCTTGCACTGCCGTCCCTCTCTCCTAAAAAGCTGCCACGCTTTGTAAGTCCTCCTTGCCCGAGACTCCTCCCACTCTTCTCCCTCCCGTAACCCCATCCAGGACAAATAAAAACTGCCCTCTCCGGACCCCCTTTCAGCATTTTCTGATCCTCTAGATTCTCTGTCCTCACCTCCCTCAGCTCCCCAGAGACCCCTGCCTTACCCGGAACCTGCTTCAGCCCACCCTCCCTCCATGGCCCCCAACCAATCCAGCCCCCGTCCTTCACCTCCTCCTAGTCGCCACACCTGCTCTCATGATCTTCTCTTCTTTGCCCCCTTAGGGAAGTGGCAGGGACTGAGGGAGTAGTTAGGGTCTATGTTCCTTCCTCTCTGTCTGATCTCTCTCAAATCGAAAAGCATCTTGGCTCTTTCACTAATGACCCCACTAGCTACATCAAAGAGTTTCGTTATCTTACCCAAGCCTATGACCTGACGTGGCATGATGTACATGTTATCCTCTCTTCCAACCTGACCTATCATGGAAAGGAACGTGTTTACCAGTCTGCTCAAGACCATGCAGATCAGGTCCACTTGATCGATGCAGCCATGCTCCCCAGCCCAGAAGCAGTTCCCCTCCAACAGCCGGGGTGGGACTACCAGACTGACACTGACGCGGCCACCAAGGCAGGGCTCACCGAGACCATTTTATTACCTGTCTCCTGTCTGGTCTCCAAGACATGGCACACAAGGCGGTAAATTTTGATAAGCTTAGGGAGATCACCCCGTCCACCTCAGAAAACCCAGCAGCCTTTCTTAGCCGCCTTACTGAGGCCCTTCAGCGGAACACTAGGTTAGATCCTGATTCACCTGGAGGTGCCACAGTCCTGGCTACTCATTTCATATCCCAGTCAGCCCCGGATACCAGAAAAAAGTTTAAAAAAGCTGAGGATTGCCCCCAGATCCCTATCCGAGACCTGCTGAACATGGCCTTTAAGGTTTTTAACAACTGGGAGTAACAGGACAGGACAGATAGAGAGACCCGTAGTTGCCAAAAGGCTGAGCTTCAAATTCAGGCCTTGGTGGCTGCCTTGAGACCGTCATGCCCAGCTCCTCCAACCACCGTAGCAACTGCCGCCTGACAGAGGATGACAATGGGCCTCCATCAAGAGCCCCTGGGACCCTGCTTCAAGTGTGGCCAGGAGGGCCACTGGTCCAAACATTGCCCCAAATCACACCCTCCACCAGGACTGTGCCCCATCTGCGGTGTCCAGGGTCACTGGAAAAGCGACTGTCCCTCTGTGCCTGGCTGTGGTGGGCCAGTCCTTCCGGCCCCTGTGATCCTGCCACCGGCGGTCTTGGGTTTGGCAGCTGAGGACTGAAGAGGCCTGGACTCATGGACCCTGATAACTTTCGGGGAGCCCAGGGTAACAGTCAAAGTAGCAGGTAAGTCCATTTCCTTTTTGGTTGACACAGAGGCTACCTTCTCTGTCCTCCCCTCCTACCCAGGTCAGACTTATCCTTCCCAAATCTCAGTTATGGGTGTTGACAGCCAACCCTCTCAGCCTTGGGCTACTGGACCCATCCTTTGTCAAACAGACAGCAAGTCGTTATTTCACTCTTTCTTAGTCATGACTTCTTGCCCCACACCACTCTTGGGTCACAACCTCCTAACCAAACTAGGGGCTACTCTTTCATGGTTCCAAGACCCTAGCGCTGCTCTCATCCTCCCATTGCTCCAAACATCTAATCCTCCTCAGGACTACCCGCTGTCTCCTTCCACTGTCGACCTTGTGGTCTGGGAAATCTCTACCCCGGTTGTGGCTATTCACCACCAACCAATGCTGATCTCTCTCAAAGACCCCACCTCTTTCCCAGCCCGTCCTCAGTTCCCTATCTCCCTAACCCATCGGTGAGGTCTCAAACCCATCATTCAATGACTCCAGGACAAAGGACTTTGGGTTCCTACTAATTCACCCTGCAACACTCCCATCCTACCTGTTAAAATGCCTGACGGCTCATACCGACTAGTCCAGGATCTGCGCCTTATCAGTGACGGGGTGGACCCCATACACCTTGTTATTGCTAATCCTTATACGCTTCTCTCACACATACCTCCCTCGACTACTCATTTCTCAGTCCTAGACCTAAAGGATGCCTTCTTTACTATTCCCCTTGACCCAAAATGTTATCATCTTTTTGCCTTTATGTGGGAGGACGCTGACACAAACACACCTCAGCAACTCACCTGGACAGTCCTGCCTCAAGGGTTTAGAGACAGCCCTCACCTCTCAGGACAGGCCCTCGCCATGGCTCTAGCAGTCTGTGATCTCAGTCCTGGCACTCTCCTCCAGTATGTAGATGACCTCCTTTTATGCAGCCCTTCACTGGAACTGTCAATCACTCACACTGCATAGCTCTTAAATTTCTTGAGTACTTAGGGATACTGGGTCTCACCTTCAAAAGCACAGCTCTCCGCCTCTACTGTTACCTACTTGGCCTTAGGGTCCCTCCCTAAGGCCAAACAACTCACTGTTGACCGCAAGGAGGCTATACTCTCCCTCCTGGTCCCTGAAAATGCTGAACAAATTCTGTCCTTTCTGGGTTTGGTGGGATTTTCCATCACTGGGTTCCTAATTTCGCCTTCTTGACCAAACCACTATAGAGGCTGCAAAGGCTACCCAGCTACCACTGAGCCTCTACTGTTACCTACTTGGCCTTAGGGCCTAAGGCAAACAACTCACTGTTGACCGCAAGGAGGCTATACTCTCCCTCCTGGTCCCTGAAAATGCTGAACAAATTCTGTCCTTTCTGGTTTGGTGGGATTTTCCATCACTGGGTTCCTAATTTCGCCTTCTTGACCAAACCACCATATGAGGCTGCAAAGGCTACCCCCCAGGGCCCTCCGGACACCAACTGAGATGCACAGGGCCTTCCTCCTTTTACAGACAGCCTTGCTCCAGGCTCCGGCCTTAGCTCTCCCAGACCCTGAAAAGCCATTCCGGTTATTCACAGATGAACGACAGGGTATTGCCCTAGGTGTTCTGGTCCAACCCACCGGGCCAGTCCAACGACCAGTTGCTTATCTCTCCAAACAAATGGATTCAACGGTAAGAGGATGGCAGCCCTGCCTGCACGCACTAGCAGCAGCTGCTCGCCTCGCCAGGCAGGCCCTGAAACTCACACTGAGTCAACCCGTAAATGTCAGTTCTCCACATCAGCTCCAGGACTTACTTACTCACCAGGCTCTCTCTCCTAACGCCCTCATGTGTGTTAGACTCTCACACCCTCTTTATCGAAAAACCCTCTGGTCACTTTATCCCAATCTCCTATTTTAAACCCAGCCACTCTGTTACCACAACCTGACTCTCCCCTGTCTTCCCACGCGTGTGCTGAGGTTCTGGAGGAATTGCGGTCACCTTGTCCGGGTCTCACTGACACTCCCCTTCTACATGCAGAAAACATCCTGTTTGCAGACGGCAGCTCCTGTATAGATCTGCAAGGGAAGCACAGGACTGCCTACGCAGTGGTGACTGAACACCAGGTCTTCGAGGCGAACTCACTCCCTGAAGGGACCACATCACAAAAAGCTGAGCTTATAGTTCTCACCCAAGCACTTACTCTCTCACAGGGAAAAAGGGTCACTATACACACTGACTCTAAATATGCTTTCCTAATAGCTCATAGCCATGCGGCAATCTGGCAGGAACGTGGTTTTCTGTCCACCAAAGGATCTCCTATCATTAACGCTAAACTTATTTTCAAACTGCTCCAGGCCCTCCAGCTACCAGCCGAGGTGGCCATAGTTCACTGCAAGTGACACCAATCAGACTCTTTGGAGGTGACATGAGGAAACAACAAAGTGAATGAAATGGCCAGGGCCTTGACAAGCCCTGGATAGCCTTCTGTCGCACCTGTTCTGTTTCTCTCTTTATGCTCTATCTCACCCCTCTATAAGCCTAATGAACGGACAAATCTTCTTTCCAAGGGTGTCACTGAAGGACAACAAGGTTGGATTACATTTAACAATAAATTGGCTCTCCCAAACAGCAATCCTCTGACATTACCCAAAAGGTACACAAGACGCTGCACATTGGGCCACACTCACTGGTTCACTTTGTTCTTTCACCCTTCACACTAAGATTGTCTGGGAGACCTGCTCCCGCTGTCAAACTTGCTAGGGGGAATACGTCCTCCCTCCTTTGTAGGTCATCAAATGAGGGGACATCTCCCAGGACAAGACTGGCAAGTCGACTTCACCCACATGAAGAAAATCACAAGAAAATCAGATGCCTTCTTACTATGGTAGACACATCTCTGGGTGGGTGGAGGCCTTTCCCGCCACTAAAGAAACAGCACAGGTGGTAGCTGAAGCCCTAATTAACCACATCATTCCACACTTTGGCCTCCCTAACACTATCCAGTCGGACAACAGACCTGCCTTTATCTCCAAGATAACCCACTAGGTCTCCTCCTCCTTAAGCTTTACTTGGAAACTACACATTCCCTACCGACCTCAGTCTTCTGGTAAGGCAGAATGGGTCAACGGTTTAATCAAAGACCACCTAACTAAACTTTCTTCTGAACTCCACAAATCTTGGATTGATTTATTCCCACTAGCCCTAATGCGCATCTGGACCACCCCACCGTGGCCCTCTATTTCTGAGCCCGTTTGAACTAATGTATGGCAGACCTTTTCTCATTAACCAGAACAGAAGGGCTCTGGAGCTCCTAACAGCCGGAAAAGGGGGTACCTGCTTATTCCTCAAAAAAGCTCTCACAATTGGCAAAAGACCTTGAACATCAGGTACATCTCCCCTTTTGCCTGGCTGAGTAGACCTCTGGCTGCATGGTTACTCTCCCTGGTGGGACCACTAATTCTAATTTTGTTATTTTTTCTCCTTGCCCTTTGTATGCTCCAGTTCATCCAAGCCGCATTCGAGAGATGACTCGCACCACCTTCAACCAACTACACCCTACTCAAGCCTCCCCACCAGTGAGCCAGGCCATTGACCTTGCTTTTTGACCTCTCTTCCTCACATTGCTCCACATCAGCAGGAAGTAGCCAGAAAGAATCCTTCACCCTTTATCCTATAACTAAAAGGTCAGAATGTAAGGTCATCGATGAGGCAGAGGGAAGAACTAGAAACTGAGACCACCTGCATCCCGGCAACCTGCATCCTGGGAGTTGGCTCTACCTGGTTTGCACTGTGCCTGATAAGCAGCCATGAAAGAACAAGCGGCAAGAGAGAACAACTTTGTAAAGCAACCTTACTCCACCTCCCACCAAGGCCAGACTCCGTCCTATAAAAGATTACCCTGTGAGAAATTTAGCCTGGCTCTCCTTTCTTTACTGTACCAACCCTTTCAATTGTTATAAGGCAGGGAGAGGGGCAGCCCAGAGCCCGCAAACCTGCCTGCTTTAGATAAGTTCTGCCATCTGCCGCATCAACACAGAACATGTAAGATTTTAATGGGAAGGAACTTTAATACAATTAGCAAACAATACAGGAAAGGCGAAGAATATAGTTTCTAAATTAAGCATCCAAAGTTACCCATCCCCTCTTGGGTAAAACTCTACCCAAATGGAATTGGCCCAGAGCAAGGCCCCAAAGCCTGCCACAAGTCTAAAGCTACTTCTAGTGGGGACGCACAGAAAAGGGTCAGAAATAGCCAGACAAGTCTTCTAGGAAAAGAGCAAAATCAAAATCAAGATAAAAGCTGCCATTGTCACCTCCCCACGGGTGTCTCACCCACATCTGTGTCCAGTCCACAACCAAGAAGCAAGCGCAGTTTCTTCATGTGTCTCTTGGCTCCATGTGCCTGCTCAAGTTCTCCTTCCGGCTCCATCCTGCTTCCTTCCTTCTTCAGCTCTTGAGTTAAATTCCAAACCTCGGATTTCTAGTGAGAGTCCAGGAACAAACAATTTACAAAATAAGCTCTTAATCTGTCTCTTCTCCTGTACACCTCATGGTTCACAAAAATAATTGAAGTCGGGCCTCCCTGGTGGCACAAGGGGGTAAGCACCGCACTATGAAGCAATCCGCACCCAATGCAGCATGAGTTTGATCCCCGGCCGGCCAGAGAGGAACCCACATGGCACAGCAGACCTCGCCCGCTGCTCCCCTCAGCAGTGTATTTCAGTTGATCTGCCTGCTCTGTTCCCCACTCTGTCTCTGGTGAATCTTCTCACCTCCCCCCCCCCCCCGCATCTCTGGTCTGTACCCCAGCTCTTGTATGCATAAATAAAGAAATCTTTAAAAAAAAAGTTAAAGCCAACAAGTCACTCTTAAAAATACAAATTTGAGATATGTTTTATCTAAAGGAATTGGTAAATACAGCTTGTAAATTTAATCAATAAAAATGTCTCAGTGTTTTCACAGACAGAATAACTACTTCTTGGGCCTCCCTGGTGGTGCAAGGATTAAAGACAGCTGTTGGGACTATTGCCAGCCTCTGCAGTGCAAGTTGTATCCACAGCTGGCCAGGGTACAGCCAACCTCTCCTGCCTACATGCTGCTCTCCTCTGTTTCAGTAGATCTTCTTGTTCTGCTCCCCACTCTGTCTCTGGTGAATCCTCTCACCTGCCATACTTCTGGCCTGTACCCCAGTTCTTGTATACATAAATAAATAAATCTTTTTTAAAAAATAAAAATAACTACTACTTAAAACTAATACACATGGCCAAAGTTTTAAAATGAGAATCAAAAAGTGTGTCTCTCACTGTCTTATGCCGCTGATGGTTTCATTATAAATGGCACCTATATAAATTCTAAGAAAAAGCCCCAAATTTTGAGATGGTGATCTAAAATTTTGGTAATCAAAAACTAGTTCAAAACTTAATGGTTGATGCTGTCTAGGCAGGGGTTAGGGCAACCTGGAGGACCATTCTTTGTCTTCTGAATTTGTTGTAGGGACTTCATAGTCAAAATATTCAAAAGCCCCACAAACATTTCTATTGAAATAAATAACATACAGAGCACTGCACAGCTCAGTGATGCACAGCTCAAGGAAAAGTTATAAAATGCAAAACATTTCCAAAGTGAATGCATGCGCACAACTATCAGGCAGAAGCATCCAGAAGATTTCCCTTTGGACCAGTTACTCCTCTACCCTCAAGAGTGATGTCTACTTTGACTTCTAACAGCACAGATTTGTTTGCCCATTTCAAATTTTATGTAGCAGGAATTATTTGCCGCATTCTATAGTATGTCTGGTTCTTCGGTTCGGCATCATGGTTGTGAGATTGCCCCATGCACTTGTGTGTAGGTGTGGGCTCTCCATTTGTATTGCTACAGAGGGCTCCCTGTACAAATGTTCCACAACATCTTCACCTATTCTGCTATTGATAGACAGTTGGGGAGTTTCCAGTTTTTAGCCAGTATGCCCATGCTGTTATTCACATTCTAGGGTGTGTCTTTCAGTGAACATATGTCCTTATTCCTCCTGGTTACATACTCAGGAGTTCCAATGCAGAATCACTGGTATTCAAATGATCAATATTGGTAGAAATGGCCATATGGTTTTCCAAAGCAGTTGTATTAAATCACACTCCACTCAATAGAGTAGGAACTTCAAAAGTGGTTTCAGACCCATGTCAGTGTCCTGGGCAAATTTTTAAACTTCTCTTAGCCTGTGTGTTTTCCTCGTGAAGGGGGACTTCTATAAGGACTCAGAAGAAGGTTTACCCTGTAAGGACTTTATCAGTGAGAGCTTGCTCTTTCCCAAAAAATCTTGGGGTCTTTAGAAATCTTTTTAGGTAACATGTATGATGAAACTCAACAAGTTACATGTAGGGCCACCTTGCCCTATGCTGTCTTCTTGTATGACTGGCTGTATTCATGCACATGGGACTACTTTTTAATTTAAGTAACATTGTTTTATAACATTATGTAAGTTTCAGGTATGCATCATTACAAATGAACATGTGTATATACTACATAAGTTCACCACTAAAGCTTAAATTTATCCTTTACCATACAGCTGATCATTTTTATCCAACTTGCCCTCACCCTTTCCCCTTCACTTTTGCTAACCATTAAATTGGACTTATAGTTGAAAAAAAAAAAAACTTAATGGTTGAATTTGAAGCATGCATACCTTATGGTTATAATATTGGGTATCAATACTTTATATTTCACTGTCTTTATTTTAAAAAGGAAGGACTCAGTATTGAGGAAAAAAAGAGTAATTTGACTTAGTCTACATCAGAAAAGATGTTTGCATTTTGATGATTATACCTAAACTTCTCTTGATAAAATGCTTTTCTAGGAAAAGCCCCAAGTGACTTCTTTCTTTCCCCTTGTACTAGCAAAATTTAAAGATGACGCCTATAGCCGAAAAGGGCAAGTTACTTAGCAGTACTGAGTTCCTCACAGGTATTTAGAAAATGTATATGAGACTTTCTTTCCCCTTGTCCTAGCAAAATTTAAAGATGAAGCTTATAGCCAAAAAGGGCAAGTTACTTAGCAGTACTGAGTTCCTCACAGGTATTTAGAAAATGTATATGAGATTAAGTCTCTGATGTTTCTTGTTTTTCATCAATCTGTCTAGTACTTGCCTAAGAAAGAAACTTGGCTTATGGGACTATTACAATTATCAACTCTGGAATTAATTTAAAATTACAGCCCTGGGCCTCCCCTAGTGGCGCAGGCAGTTGAGCGCCATGCTGTGGGGCTGTCCACAGCCTCTGCAGCGCTGGTTCTGCAACAGGGTGGTCCCCAGGAAAGGGGAGGTTCCCTGCCCCACCCAAGGGAGGGTGGAGCTGAGCAGGAAGAGGAGAAGCTGCAGAAGAGACTGAGGAAGGAAGCAGGATGGAGCCAGGAGACCTGGAGGAGGCGCATGGAGCCTAGAGACATGTGAAGAAACTGAGCTTGTCTTTTGGTCGTGGACTGGGTGACACAGATGTGGGTGAGACCCGTGGGGAGGTGACAATGGCAGCTTTTATCTGGATGTTGATTTTGCTCTTTTCCTTCCGGGCTTGTCCGGTTGTTTGTGACCCTTTTCTGTGGGTCCCCACTGGAAGATGTTTTAGACTTGTGGCAGGCTTTGGGCCTTGCTCTGGGCCGACCCCATATGGATGGAGTTTTACCCACGAGGGATGGGTAACTTTGGGTGCTTCATTTAGAAACTAGACTCTTTGCCTTACCTGTATTGTTTCCTAGTTTTATTAAAGTTCCTTCCCATTAAAGTGTCATATGTTTTGTGTTGATGCGGCGGATGGCAGAACCCATTTAGAATAGGCAGTTTGCGGGTTTGGGCTGCCCCTCTCCTTGTCCTATAACAGATTGATCCCGGCTGGCCGCTGAGGGTCCCACATGATGCAGCAGACCTCTCCTGTCGCGCCCACTGCTCCCCTCTGCGGGAGCCATGCTACTCATGTTGTCTTATTGTAGAGCAACCCCGATACAAAACAGGTTAATAAAAGGTTCATTTACAAGGGAAGGGGAAATGAGGAAATGCACAGCTTAGAGAGAAAAGTGGGAGACAATGTTTTAAATGAGTCCTACCCTATCCGCCGATCAGAAATCCCAAAATGGCGCTCTGAGAGCTGGCCTCCAGCCAGGAGCCCTGAAGCCAGGAGGCGAGCTATAGCAAGCCCCCCAAGGCCCACGTGTTTGGTTTTTATATCCAACCTGGCTGCCCAACTCCACCCTCAGGTCCCAGCCACCCTCCCTTTGGTGGTGACGGGATTTGTCTTTCCCAATGTCTTGATGGCTTTAGTCTGGAGTGGGGGTGGGGTCCACAAAGTCTGTATGGGATTAGCTCAGGACATCATTTCCCCCTAACAGTCTGACAAGAGTCCGGGCATGGGACAGATTCCTGAAAAGTCAGGAATCTCATTCGCTGACTCCTGCTAGATTCTCCTCATTTGTTTATGGCTAGTTTCTACCATTGTTAAAATACTCATTTAAAAGTAAAACTGCTAATACTGTATTACTAAATAACCAATTTGATGGCAAATGGCACTGCGTGATACAAATATTTTTTTATAAAATTAGTAGTTCTCTGCCAAAAGGCAGTAATTCAAAATTCGGCCTTACATTAACAAGTGAAAAAACTTCTGGGAACAAAAGGCTATAAATATCCCTTGGCCAAGTCTTTAATATGGATATATGGCCTTTTGAGGCAAGGGCTAAATGGAGAAGGAAATTCTTTTACTTTAAAGTTAAAGATAGGGGGTTGCAAAGCTGCTCAAGGTCTCTGCGGCGCTGGTTCAATCCCTGGCTGCTCCCTGGCCACCAGAGGAGGGTCCCACTTGGCCTGCAGACCTCTCCTGCCACCCGTTGCTCCCCTCAGCAGTGTCCTTTGGTCCTTCTGCCTGCTCTGCTCCCAGCTCTGGTTCTGGTGAATTCTCTCACCCTCCCGCGCTTCTGACTGTACCCAGTGCATGTATAAACAAAACAAACAAATAAAACATGCCTCTATTAAAAAAAATTAAAAAAATAAAAATAAAGTTAAAGATAGCATTTGGGTGGCAGATGCAAGCCATGCTCCAAGTATAAGAAATTTCCTCATAAGCCAGGAGGCACCGTAGTTGGCTCCTGCTAAATTCTTCCTGTTTGCTTAGGGCTGATTCCCCTGGAGGTGACAATTGGTAGAGTAGCCCTGAGAGTATGCATTCCAGAATAAGTCAACAGCAATTTTGTGACTGATTGAGTTGATAACCATGGCAGCACAAATAATGCACTTGGAAATAGTCAGTGTTACAACTACTGATATGTCACTGTATTAACGATTCTGAGAACCAAAAGCTATAACCAACCCTGGCCCTGCCCCTGATGAAATGTGTGTAGTTCTTTTAAACAACAATCAACAATTTTACAGAAAAATAAATTTTCCCTTGATCTTAAAATTAGATACGGAAACTAGGAAACTAGGCTGACGAGAGATAAGTATAGGAGTAACAGGTAGAAAAACTCTTCTGTTAGATTAGGAAAATTCCTCCCTTAATTGAGAGCTTGGGGCTGGGGAAGAGTCAGGGCATCTTCCCTCCCCCAGGTAACTTCCTGTCCTTTTTTTCCCCTAACCTGGTTATTCCTTCACTATGGCAAACATATGTTAGTTTCAGTCACATAAGTTTTTTGCTAGTAATAAAATGACTGTTTAAGGTGAATGACTATTCTAAGAACACTTTTGTTCAGCAACTGTGCCTTCTTTAAAACAAAGAATAATACAGCGAAATAAGCCAGAAAGAAAAAGAAAAATACCGGATGGTCTCACTCATAGCAGGAATTTAGAAAACATAAATAAGGGACCAGGAAAAAGACTAATTAATACAAAGTAAAAATCAAAATCAACAAGCAACTATAAACCAGAGACACACTACGGGAGTTGGGGGGGAGGAGAGAGGCAGGGAGAGAAGGACTAGAGTCAAAATAAGGGGGGGGCAATTGTATGGGGAATATAACCAAAATGAAAATGCATACATTGTGCAAAAATGAAAAATGATCTAAGTATTATATATATATATATATATATATATATGATCTTTTATGTTTTGTGTTGATGTGGTGGATGGCAGAACCTATTCAGAGTGAGACAGGGCAAGCTAGGGTTATTAGGCAGTTTTAGGGACAGTGCAGGAGGGGACCTCTGAAGAATTTAGGGAGGCTTCAGAGATAAGGACAACCAAGGGAATGTAACCAATTCTGTTGTAGAGCAACCCCGATACAAAACGGGTGCCTGACTGTGGGTCCTCACCCGCGCGCTTAAAAGGACTTATCAATGCTCTACTGCAGGCACACGTGAAAGGTTAATAAAAGGTTTATTTACAAGGGAAAGGGAAATGAGGAAATGTACAGCTCTGGGAGAAAATAGGGAAATAAAGTCTTAAATGTGTCCTACCTGATCCGCCAACCTGGAAACCCAATAGTACTATGAGAGCTGGCCGCAAGCCAAGAGCCCTGAAGCCAAAAAGCTCCCCCAAGACCAACATGTCTGGTTTTATCTCAAACCTGGCTGCTTAACTCCACCCTCAGGCCCCAGCAACCTTCCCTTTGGTGGTGATGGGATTTGTCTTTCCAATGTCTTGATGGCTTTAGTCTGGAGTGGGGGTGGAGTCCACAAAGCCTGTATGGGATTAGCTCAGGACATCCTTTCCCCCTAACACTCTCACTGGTTTTGATAACAAATTAAGGGCTGTTTATGTAATCTAAAATCTTGGTGCTTTTTAACCCTCAGGTTACATGAGAAAAAAATCTTTTCATGTCAGCATTGCGAACCCTCGTCAAAGAAATAGCTCTGTTCTTAAAAATCCTTAGCAGTCTGAGTAATTAATTATTTTATAAAAATCTGTAAGTTGTTAATCCTATGATAACTTCCTTGATACCAAATATTCTAAAATGTTAAAGTCTTTGTCCTAGAAAGTGTTTTCCTTGTAAAAACAAACTGGGTCAATCTGGGTATATTGATAAAAATACACAGCACAATAAATTTTAGTCTTCCTTCCTATTCCTCTATTAGGACAAGACATTGTAACCAAATTCCAAACTAAGTGTATTGGCTCTTCTAGCCACTCCTACAAAAGGTAGAAATAATACAGAAGCCCCAGGTCTCCAAGGTAATGATACCTGACAAATAGACTGCTGTGGACCAGCACAGCAGTGAACGATGAGGCCGTCTCAGGGTTGAGAGACTGCGCAGGGTGGTCAGGGATTCGGCTAAAGAAATGGCAAACAGACACACTTCAAGGGAGAGTGTAAATCTGAGTGCAGCTTTATTCTAGTCAGTGGTCAGTATATATATGTTTTCTTCTAAAGATAGTATAGGATTGTTTATCAGTGAACTAAGCCAGATGGCTCATAGATTTATTATTGACAGGGCAGTGATCTATGTCCGAAGCTACATCTAGACCTATTCACATTCCTAAATAGACAGGCTATTAATTCTTATAAGTATATTTTAGTTGCACTAACTATCACTTACTCGTTTCTACTCATAATTAACTGTCATGGGTGAATTTATAATGCAGTTAATATCATAGGTACTAAAGACAAGCACATAATAGAAGATTATTAAACCAACAATTCTATTATTAATGTTTCATTTGGATTAGCCTGTTTATTAAATTACGTATGTTTTTTAATTAGCAATCAATGACCAGAAAAAGGAAAGAATTTAGAAAGACAGTTGTAGCAGAATAAAGTTTATGGGACTTGAGAAAGCAAGATAAGCTTTATGGCAGCTTTTAGTGGTCGTTATGTCTTAACAGGCATCCAGTTTATTTATGTTTTAGGGAGTTTTGCTGTTCTCCCCCTGCGCGCATGGTTCCTTGCCCACACCGGACCTCAGGGACCATGGCAACAGTCATTAGCCCTGAAGGTCACTGCAGGGGGAGGTGCAGCAATAGACCTTACATTCATGTCTCTAAAGACACCTATTCTGCTTTATCAAACCTTGGCCCTAACAGGGTAAACTGTTAAACATGTTTAAAAAACACCTTTAATCTGCCATTGTGGCGATGGGAATCCCTTCACAAATAAAAGCTGATAATGGACCTGCCTACATGTCCAAAGCCTTTAACTCTTCCTGCTAGAGTGAAATATTCAACATGTGCCTGGCGGCCCTTGTAGCCCTGCAGGACAAGCTACAGTTAAAAGAGCCAACAGGCTCCTTAAAACATAACTTATAAAACAAAAAGGAATCGAGAGAGCAAGTTGCCCCCACGGGAACAAATATATAAAGCTCCACTTACTTTAAGCTCCCTAAATTGCCATCCCTCCGCCCTAGCAGCTGTGCAGGCATCTCACTCCTGCTGAGTCTGGACAAGACCGGCGGTTTGCACCGACCCCGCTGCCAGGACCAGACTGGCGGCCTGTCCCATCCCTGACCCGGATGGGGGCGCTGCTGTCTGTCCCCGCAGGCACAGGCTGTGCGCCCTGACCAGGAGTTGGGTCCCACAGGGGTGAATCCCACTCGGGAGACTCACCCCAGCGCCGGCTCCGCGTCTCCCCACAGCCCCAGGGCGCGGGCGGGGACCTGGGCAGCCGCACCCTCCGGTGCTTCCCGCGCTCCCGGCTGCCCTTGGCTGTTTGCGGGTCTCTCCGCGGGGTCCTGGCCTTGCTCCGGGGGCGCCCAGTTTGCAATCCCCCCAGCCGTTAGCTCAGGGTTGCCCACATTTCCTGCCGCAGGGCGTGGTGCCTGTTCTCTACCCTGCTGGATCTCTAGTTTGCTCTTGTTTTTTTCTCTTTTCTGGGCCAGCTTCGTGGGTGGGGCAGGGCCACAGGTTCTGCTGCTTTTCTCTCTTCTCCTCTTTCATATGCAACTTTCCTCTCCGGCAATTTTTAGCACCCCCAGTTTATCTTCTGTGTCTCGGTTCTCACAGGGACCTGCCGCTTTTTCCCCTATTTATTGTTTTTACAGGAGAACTTACTCGTTTCTTTCCCACCGTGTTGGTCAGCTGACTGTTCCTGAGATCCAATACTTGCCATACCTGCCTCCCAGGAGAGGACAGAAAAGGACAAAGATTAATCTTGTGGACTCAATGAAGCATCCACTCCACTGAGCTGGGATCTAAAAAAGTTAACAAGTGAAGCAGAAAATACTAAAGCTCAAGGGGACGCCTGAGACCCCAGAAAATCTGTTCTTCTCAATGTTAGCTCACATCACCATAAATTCTAAAGGCCTTAATGATACTGGAATTGTAGGTTTTCAGGCCTAGTCTCCCAGCCAGAATGGAGAAGCCAGGAATGATCCCAGGCTGCAGGGGCAGCGCTGAGTCCCAGCCACTTGACCCCCAAGTTCCAGCAGGAACTTCGCAGATGCTCAGGCAAGCAAGCGAGAAGAGGCAGATTTGCTTAGAGAAAGAAAACGTTTATTGAGGAGAAAAGTAACAGAAATAAAGTGGGACTCTCAGGCCAGTGGAACGAGGCCAGGGAGGGGCAAGGAAGCCCAAGTGGAGTCTGGCCCCAGGAATAGAGACCTGCTTTCTCTGATTACTCTAAAGCTCCACCTGGCTCTTTGTGATTGGTTAGTCCTTGGTGTCTCACTCACTGCCTGAATGTCTCTGCCCAGAACTGAGTGTCTGTGTCCAGCCCTTATCTTTTTTTCTTTATTGTCCTTGTCCAGGAATATCCTGTTGCCCCTAGTCCTGGGGAGTGTGATTAGTCCCTTTGGAATTTGTTGCCCTTATCTCTGGAGCCTTCCTGAACTCTCCTGAAGTCCCTGCACTGCCTTGGGCTGCCTAATTATCCCTAACTTGCCCTAGGACTCATTCCCCCCTATGGATGGAGCCCCTAACTGTCGTTGGGACAAAGGATGTCCATCTGATCAGTGACTACTCCTGCTGAATGCGGGCAGGCGAGGTGGGGATACAGTCAGGGCTCTTCTTCAGGGCGATGGTCTAAGGGACCTGGAAGAAGGATGGTGGAGGCTTTATAGTGGGTTCCATTTGAAGGACCAGATGGAGTTTGATGGCCTCCAGGCGAGAGATGATCCCGATGAGGGCATTGAGGATAAAGGGCCCAAGCAAGAGAAAAACGATAAAAAAATTAAAAAGTTTTAGTAAGGGAATGGAAAAGGGGAACATCCAGGACAGAAGCTGGGTTTTTAAGGATTTAAGAGTAAGGAGGGCACAGACTCGTGAGTGAGCCCAGCACTCCATGGTGTTCCATAACCACTGAGACTAGGGGATTCAAGGAGCATTGTTGGGCTTTGGCTTGAGGGGGTTGTGGTTCCATCAGGAAGAGAGGAGGTTCCTTTAATTGCACCCTAAGAGGGGTGGCAAAGACACCTCAGCCTGGCACTGTAGTGTCCCAAACACCTGGAGGGGTTGTAGCCAAAGTGGCAGCATCAGTGAGAATTAGGGCTTCCATGTTATTCTTGTCTTGTGTAGCAGCAGCTGGGGGATCCAATCGTGGCTGCCGAGGCTGTTAGTTTGGAATTTAGTCCCCATGTCCTGTCCTAATAGAGGAAGCTAGGAAAGCAAGACTGAAAATATAAACATGTGGCCTTGTAGCAAGCAAGGAAGCAGTGCTATACAGTGTCCTGGCTCAGGCTGGCCATCAGTACTAGTAAGGGGGACAATTGACCAAGGTCAGTCCAAAAATTGGAGTAAGGAAGAGTAAGTGGCCCCTTATTTACCAAAAAGGTGATCTTTTTGTCTGCTGCTCCTAGGGTCATCTGAGTCTTATCCACAGAAACAGTAAAAACAGGAGCCTGTCTCACCTCTGGCTTCGTCAGAGAAGGTCTCCTGCACCGGGTTCTTCATAGTCAGAGGCAGCTGATGGTCAAGCCTGTCCTCCCATCCTGGCCTGTGGGTTGGGCTGGCCTCTCCCTTTCTGGAGAGTGGGGCAGTCCTACTTTTCAGTGCCCTGGGTGATGGCACTGGGGGCACCTTTCTTGCCCCTGATGTTTTCTGGGTTTTGGCAGTGGAGGCAGCCCATTAAGAGGTTGAAATCTCAAATGCCCTGGGGTGCATGGGGCCTTGAGTGAGCCTGAGGTGGCAGGGCACTGACAATGGCAACTGCCGTATACTGGGGCTTTCTCTTGTCTTTCTCCCTTTCTTTTTTCAGTCTAGCTAGTCCCCTCCATGTTACTGTAGGCCCTTGAAGTCCATGTCCAAAGTATTAAAAGGATCTTAGGCCCTTGATTTAGTCTCTGGAGTCTGTGCCTGATGTCAAAGCAAGGCTGGCTAATGAAGGAAGCCACTAAAATGCTTGTCCTTTCTGGGTCTAGATTATATACCTTTTAATAGTCTCAGCAAATTTAGCCTGAAATTGATACCGGAATTGTCAGGCCTAGTCTCCCAGCCAGGAACGGATCCCAGGCTGCAGGTGCAGCGCGAAGTCCCAGCCACTAGACCACCACGGGTTGGTGTCTCAGGAAGCCACAGCAGGAACTTTGCAGACTCTCAGGCAAGCAAGCAAGAAGAGGCAGGTTTGTTTAAAGAAAGAAAAAGTTTATTGAGGAGAAAAAGAGCAGAAATAAAGTGGGATCCCAGGCCATGAAACCAGGCCAGGGAGG